TGACAAGTCGTGTGAACCGCTAAGCGTTAGCCATTGAAACTAGGTCTCAGAGGTCATCAGAGAAGTGCAGCAGTGGACCATGGCACAAAAAACATATACATACATTTCACTTAAATCAGTAAATAAAATCAACTAATGAATTATTATATCATGGGCACAATTTACTTAAAAGGAGGGAATGAGTTAGTAAATTGTGCGCACAATTGAGTAAAATGAGGGAACGAATTATAGGCCTATTGTGCGCACACTTTACATTTTTTTTTCCTGCATGTCATGTGTGTGGCTCCATACATAAGCCGCTTTAAGCATAAAAATATCCACTTCGATTACGTTGCGGCTGACGTCTTAGAAGTATAGTGTTTATCACAAGTGAAATGTGAGAAAAATGTTGTTTTAGAACTGTAATGACATTATCATTTATTTATTCATTATTAATTTGTAATTATAGGGAATTGATGATTATTACATTAAACTGTTTTAGAACATTAAGCTCGCTCCACTGCACTACCTTTGCGCTCACGTCTCGCATCTTTTGCAGTGTCTCGAAGCAATGCCTTTTAGAATGTCCTGCGACGGGGCCCGCCAAAAGGCCGGAGCCCCCACGCACCACGGGGGCTGCGGGGGTGTCCCGTACGCCACAGCATGGGAGTTAGTTACTTAAAGATCAAGACCCCCACAGGCACAGAGGTCCCACAGGGATTTCTGTTCTTTTGGACAGGTTATTAACTCCTAGTGCAGATTTGTTCCATTATACAGAGGAACACTGTGTACTCAATAGTGTTATTCCGTGGAGATCGCAGACAGCCAATGGGTGGCCTACATGTTCCTGGACGGCAGTGAATGAGAGTGAGTTTGCTGTGGGCACAGAAAGCCAATTCACACCAGTGGAGTCTAAATGCCTCATCACACTCTTTAATTACACTTTGTGCCATTAGTCTGTTTTTCTATCAAAGAATTAGCCTATAAGAGAAACACTCAGCACTGTGTAAACACTGAATGATAATGAAGAACAGCTTATAATGATGTCGGTCGTGCTTCTTTGGTTTTAACGTCCACATTGCGTACTCAATCTTCCATGGTGCGTTCCTTGTGACTAAGACACTGCGCATCTTTGAAGTCATGTACTTTTGTTAATATGTTTTAATAGTAGGCTGTCTGCCTTAACCCTTTCAGACCCAGTCAGAATCATCTGTTCATTTGCTCTAGTTTCAAATAGGATTCTTTCCATCCTCTGAAAATGTTGACGATGATTGTTTAGGGTTGGAAACAAGAAGTTGACAGGTGATGGGATAGCTGTAGTTTCTCTCAGAAAAAAGGTGCAAAAGCAGTCACTGTGGCGGTACCCTTTCAAAATGTACTAATATGTACACTTTAAGGGTAATGAAAAGTGTACCTTTTGATAAGGTACCAATTACCAGTGACAGCTTTTATACCTTTTTTTCTGAGAGTACATAACAGTTATTGTTGGATCTTCTAAAGAATGGTTTACTGGCTTAGGTTGATTTTTGTACCGATTCATGTGAGCGCGTATTTAGAGGAAAAGTAGCATTGTTTTTTAAATATATTTTTAACATATATTATTTACTTTTTAATAATTTACAATAATCTAATAAAATGACCCTTTTGTTAATTAATGCAATCTGATTGTCTTGAAACAAGCCCAAGACTTTTAGAGCTCTTTGATGTGCACCAATCACTTGAAGAAAAATCTGTAAGATTTCTCTTTTTATACATATTTTTGAAAGAAGTCTCTTTTATGTTTACTAAGCCTGCCTTTACTTAATTAAAAATACAGTAAAAACAGTACTAATGTGCAGTGGCGGCTCCTCAGGTGAGGCACAGCTTCCCAAAAATTTTCAGGTGAAAATGCGAGGAGGACAATTTAATATTAATAAAATTCACAATTCATTTCAGTTCATGTCTCAGAATGTGTATTTTTTGTTTGTAATTTCACTGCTGTAATACCATAACATGTTACTTAAGTTGGAAAGCACCGCTTTTCTATCGCGAATGTGCCGAATCTGCTGATGTAATTACAACCACTAGGTGATAGAGAAGGGGAGGGGGAGGCCGGGGGAGAGCTGGGGCAAGTTCAAGCTCAAACTAGTGTGCACCGTTTTGCTACAGTTTCCGGTTTGAACGACATGTTTCCGGTTTGAACGTCATGTTTCCTGGAAATGGCGTGCAACGGGGTTTGAGATGCATTTTCTCTTGTTTGGTGGGTGTGTCAAACATGTCAGCCCATTCAGCAGCAACATGTATGTAAACCACGCGGTATTAAAGGGACAGCTAGCACAATGTAATTAACATCCAAATAAATTCACAAGAGCAAGTATATTGTTTGCACATATTTAAGGCAAGGGCAGTGACTGTACCATCCAGCATATTTTGCAGTATTAAACACGTATTTATACCGATTTCATCAGGCTCCGAAAATTCTTCAAGAAGAACACAAAGAATGTCCTTCTCAGCTGCCATAATTGCAACTCTTGCGTCATCAGAACAGGGTGTTCAACGCATCACCGGTTCCGTTTAAAAAACGTTTTGCACCGTTTTTGTCGGCGCTGAACACAGCCCTGAGCTCTCGTGCCTCCGTTGGTAAAAAAAAAATTAGCCAATCACCATGGAGTGTTCAATTTCAGCACTGAGGAGTGTTGAGAAAAGAAACCTCACAGGGGAGACTAGCCTCCTTTCTGATATCAACCAATCATCATAGAGATTTAAATTACGTGCTATTAGTTTGAACGTCTCCCGCTGCGCTGATAATATACCAATTGTACTTATGATGAGTAGCGATATTGAATATTTGATCGCCAACAGATTTACCAAGCTGTCATTCAAACAGTATATATACAAATTTAAAATAAAGGGAGAACATGCCTAATCTGGATATAGGCTACAGCAGTCCGCTTAATTAAATGGCGCAACAGGCAGCTCTCTTTTAACACAGACTTTTAAGAAGGGATGGATGTTTGCTTCAAGTGATAGGCCAGGTAAGTGAAATGATATTATCTTGCTGTATGTATGCCGTTTTCTTTACGTGTTCTGACTAAAAGCAACCAAAAAGCCATTTTAAAGTGGTTAAGCTATTAATAATAATAATAATAATAATTGTAGCATTTGGACCAATCAGACACACATACCTTTTTTCTATTTAAGTGTATTTTTAAAATGTGTCCTTGGTGAAAGTATCAATTTCTTTCTGACCCCAAACACTTCAATGGCAGTGTGCAAATAAGTGACATCTCATCTTTGGGTTCCTGAGGGGAGATGGTAGAAATGTCCTTGCTAAATGTCTTCGACTATTGCTGACTGTATTGTTCACTGTAACCAATTCAATCTTGAGTTCAATTTGACCTTGTGCAGCTCAGGTCATTATCATTGTGCTTGGATTAGAGGGGTTTCAAAGTGTCAGTGTGTTTCATCTCTCTCGATCTCTAGTGCATAAAAAAAGTGACACGCATTACACTCTCAACGATTCGCTGTGAAAAACAGTGAGTCCTCAAGGCCCAATTAACTGAAATTCAGAGGAAAAGACCGATTTTAATGATTATGACTTATTTCAGGTTTCTAAAGGCAGAGCTTCCTTAGTAATTCCCCCTTGCATAACTTTGATGTGCAGTGCTGTAAATTAAATTCCCACAGGCATGTAATCTAAACTGTTGAAAGGTTTTTGTGTTCATGTAGGAACAGGGAATTGAAATGAATGCATTGAAAATACTTTGGCGTACTCAATGTTGAATAATTGTTTGGACTTGTGCGTGTCTTTACTTTGATTGTCCGAGCAGAATAACAATTAGATGTTGTTTTTTCCACTGTGAAACTGCAGAGCAATGAGCAAGGCAACAAGCTTGACGTGTTTTCCGCAGAGAATCTGGCATTTCATGTATTCATCTCTTAACATTGCTATATCCTCTTGAGACCAGAGAACAGCATCCAAGCGGTTCAATGTCGTGTTTCACACCTAGTGACCTCAATTTGCAATTAAAACCATGTCCTTGAGCTTCTCTAAAATATATACATATGTAATTGAAGCAATTCTATAGAGAAACACTGTGTGAATATTTTGATGCTATCAGGTCAACCAAGATGTCAGAAATTATTTTATTCTGTGACGTCATTTGAATTCAGTCTTTCTTTTTTCTCCATTCAGTCTTATGTGTATGTTCTCAAATTCTGTTATTATTATTCTATTCTACTTGTCCACTAATAGTGTTTTTGCTTTGACGCTTTGATTAATCATATAGTTCTTCTCAGTCTGTAGCTGTCATCTGCTGCCATCTAATTCAGGGCTGTAACTGTAATTTTTATCTATAGAAAAGCAAAGTTTGTCAAAGGCTTGACAAAGGCTTGTTTAAAAAAAATGTAAAAGTATTGAGTATATATAGATAATCTGTGGTCATGAATGAATGAACGAATGAATGAACAAACAAATAAATAGATGGATATTCTTTTTTGAAAGAAATCAATATTTCACCAAGAATGCGTTGAGTTGATCAAAATTGACTGTACATGTTTCTTATACATTGTTACAAAACATTTCTATTTCAAACAAATGCTGTTCTTTTGAGCTTTCTATTTATAAAAGAATCTTGGAAAAAAAGAATCACAGTTTCTACAAAAATGATGCAGCATGGTTGTTCCTTGAGCAGTAAAGCAGCATATTAGAATGATTTCTGAAGGATCATGTGACACTGAAGACTGCTGAAAATTCAGCTTTGCCATCACAGGAATACATTATTTAAAAATATATCAAAATAGAAAATATTTCAAAATATTACTGTTTTTACTATATTTTTATCAATTAAATGCAGCCTCGGTGAGCATAAGAGACTCAAAAACATTAAAAAAAGACTCCAAACATTTAACAGACATGCTGACTATTAATCAAATTCCAGTTCAGCTTCCTGTGGTATGTGGCCAATTCAAATTGCAATTCATGAATTTAACCAGTCTTTTTATGCATGTGTTTCTAGTCATGTGTTCTTGTTTTCCTGAAGGAACTGACTTCCCAAAGACATTTCATGCTGAGGCTACCGCAAACAACATGCGACAAGACAGACTAGCACATAGCACAACTGTGAAAAATGTAATGAAGCCCTCTGGTCCACTTGTCCTTGTGAGCCTGACGTCAATCAAGTGTAAACATCTTGTGTGTTTTACCTGCAGTTGTCTCTGCGGCCCTCCATCACGTCCAGACGCTGTGTGTGTGTGTGTGGTGCCAGTGGTAATTGGAATGCAGCATGTGACTCTGGGCTACAGAGAGAGCTGTCTGATGAGCCCGTTTGTCTCAGAGCGCCATAGCAGCTCCGCTCCTCCCCCCTGCCACTAATTGCAGTGTTCGTCTGCGTGCATTATCTGCAAATGGAGAGCCGGGACGCCACACTTCACTTTCTCTGTCGCATTGATCCTGTAGTAAGAGACAGCTTCTTTCACACTGACTGTTTGATCAATCTCATATTGTGCTTGTATGGTACATTCAGACACCGAGAACAATAGGAGGAAGATCAAGAGAGACAAGACAGTAATATAATACCTTTTTTAATAAAGGCATAATTTAAATTTGAAACTGCTTGCACCCGTATTGATGCCATGATCTTAGATGGTATAAAAATGACACCATATAGGTGACTGATAGTGAAATGTAAAGAGGTAGTCCCGCCCAGGAGAGTGTGTAATACTTGGAGAGAGCTATGCGTTAGCATTCCCCTCTCTCAGTTTACAAACTGCATGCTGCCATCTTTGCTAACGGGCAGTCAGTTCAGCAGGCCAATCATCTGAGCTGTAAATGGCATCACCAAGGGTTCAGGGTCAGGCTGCTTAGCATGGACCCGTTAGCCCTTGCTGGTAGATAACTCTACTAATGATGCCAAGAACATAGATGATCTCAGACCCATCTCTATCAAACCCTCATGAGATGTGGAAAAACAGCAGACAGGGAAAAATAGAAGTCGGTTTTAATATTTATGAAGTATTTATTAATATGTATTGATGTATATTATTAAAATATTTTATGAGAATTCACAGCTAGTTTTGAACGATTGTCAGTGGAGACAGATGCTCTTTGCTGCCAGGAGATGTAATTTTTACTAACCATGCTAACCAGCCAACCTAAGCTAGTCCCAAGCTAATGCTGTTGGCTGAGCCCAAGGTTTTTATGTAGTATCAACCAAATATACAGTGCACACTACTATTCACAAGTTGGAGGTCAGGTAGATTTATTTTTAAAGGAATTAATACTTTTATTCAGCAAGGAGGCATTAAATTGATCAAAAGTGGTGACATTTATAATGTCCCAAAAGATTTCTGTTTTAAATAAATGCTGTTCCAACTTCTTTTGAACTTTCTATTGATGAATTGACAAAATGTATTGTCCTAGAATAAACAATAAGTTGTCACAATTGGTGACTCATTCTTTAAAAACAAAAGGGGAGTGTTCTTTTTTCTAGAGAAAACATCACAATGAAGTGACATTAAGCCCTTTATTAAGTATACTATTTAGGAGAGGTGTGGGTTATTTTTATAATATGCATGATGTTGACACCTTCTCTGTAGCTAATGAATTTCAAACACAATTTTCTAAGTAGAACACGATTCTTTTGACTGCTTGTAGCATTCCATTAAGGCCCCTCCTTTTTTAAAAACGGTCATAAACAGGCTTTGGTCATTATTTTGCAATGTCACACAAATGGTTTTGCATCACACCAATGGAAAATAATAACAGAAAGAGTCTATTTAATAAAAAAAATTATATCCAAAAAGCATGACACAAGGAGAGCTGCAAAACATTTCAATAAATATTCACTCTCTACAGCTTCTCTACGCTGACATCTGATTGGCCACCCCAAAATTGAATATGCTACTATTTCATTTTCTTTGTTTAGTCACACTGAAAGAAGCATTTATTTTAGCCTCGACCTCAAGGACGCGACACATCTGGTGTGCCGTATCGCGCTTCATCTCGTCTGGTGTACCTTCCAGCCTCTGCTAACTCTCACGTACGCTCTCTCACGACACGTTCATTTTCTTACGGAGTGAAAAACATCGCAGAGTAAAGAGGACACAGATAACGCGCTGACAGACAAGGCAGACCAGGTTACTTTTGATAATAGGAAACAAAGTCTCAGCATTCAAATTCTGTTTGTTTTATTAAGAATTTAAAATGATAAATACAGTTTTGGAGCTCTTTAGCGGCATGACGATTCACGTGCGCTCCCGCTTTACCTCAGTTCAAGCGAAGCAGGAGTGCATTCTAATTAGCATGAAATAAACATGAATGAACATCCAAGTGAATGCTGAAAGATACACTACAACTTACTGAATGTATAGTGTCTCGTGTAATCACTCAATGAGTGTTTCAACCACGGAAAGACAGCAGCTTAAAAACATTGTCACATAACCTCAGAAAATTAATTGTGTCCATAAACTAGTGAGAAAAATGTACACTAGAGAGGAGAATTAAAAAAAAATTTAAATTATTATAATAAATACAAATGTATAGATATACGTTTTAATAAAAATTATACAAATCAGTTGTTACAATAGACAATAGAGTTCCCTGTAGGCTATAGTTTAGTTTAGAAAAATTGAGAACTTAATTTTCCAGGCTGAACTCAAAAGTTGGCAGCCCTGTCTGAAATAAGTTGAAGTTTTAGGTTTCCTGAACAACATTAAAAAAATGTCACTGTGTAAATTAATGTTAGATCTTTTGCTCCAACCGCTGGTTAATCAGATGATAGAAATAAGAGAAATAAGTTACGGTATGGGAATGTACAGCTGATGTAGGGTAATGTGAAGTAATCAGCAATCGTAGGATTTATCCATGCTTTTTATGCCAGGTTGGATAATTAGCCTTCACCCCCTGGCCACCCCATGTATAAAACTCTAGCTCCGCCACTGTCTCTATGCCTCTCACCTGCCAACATGAGTTATGAACATGGGCAATTTATTATTTGAAACCTGGAAATTTTATTTGATTGCAGCAGGTAATGTAAGCTGTGTGAACTATAATCAATCATGGTTTGGAATAATGCCTAATGATGTGTTTTTATTGTTCTAAGTCCATTACAAATCTCCTTTGTTTGTGTTTGTGTATGTGTGTGATTTTAATTTATACAACACACACATAATTGAAATTACTTGAGCATTGTAAAGCAGCATAGTAAAATGTTATTTCACTATGGCCAGACTATATTAGAGACCCGATCTTCATATCTTAAAATTGATTTCTCCTGCACCATGCTCTGAGGAACATGCATTTATTGGGTGCTGAAATAATGCTATATGCAGTGCCACATGTTTTAAAGCAGTGGATTTATATAAAACACCAGAGACCCTGTGAGAAAATATAGCACAATGAAAATCTATTACTGCTGAGGAAAATGTGTTTCCATTTCATCTTCCTTTTTTTCTTTTGTAAAAGTTTCTCAGAAGTCTTCTGAAGGACATGTTTAATTATTTACATTTCTCTATATCCTGTCAGTAATTTTTCAGTTGCAATCAACACTCGCTAAAAAAAAATAATAATAAAATAATAGTAATAATGAATAAATAAACCACAAGAGAAAGAAATTAAGCCATGTTTGTTTGCAGATTTACATGTTAAGACAAAAAAAATTAAGTTTGACCCTCTATGATGCCTGTCGGGAACTGGGACTTATTGTTTCTGAAATTTTTTTTTTAAATCTGATTTCTGATTAGCAGCTTGAGTATGTTTACATGCACAAGATTATGCTTAAACCTGACAACGCATAAGGTCATTTCTTTATCTTAAAGGGATTGTTTACTTAAAAATGAAAATTCGGTTATTTACTCATCCTCATTTGTATGACTTGCTTTCGTCTGTGAAACACAAAAAGAAGATATTGTTGTTGTTTTTTTCCCAATGTGGTCCAACCTTATTTAGACCCATGTTGTTCTTCAAAATATCATCTTTTGTGTCCCATAGGGGAAAAAGTACATACAGGTTTAGCATGACTTGAGGGTGACTGTACACCCATTTAAAAGAAGGCTGTATGTCCATCCATTCCCAGGTGCATGTGCTGTGCAGAACTGAATCTGTCCTTGCACTGAGGTTATACCAAACCCATTTCTTTCTATTTTACTGGAGTGAATGAAAGTGAACAGGGCTTCCAACACATCCCAGTGGAAATGCTTGGCTCAGACGTGAAATTTCAAAGTAAGTTACTTAAAGTTCAGTGACTGGCGCTGTTCAAAAAGATGCTTTTAAATGCCTATAGCATATCCCGATCAGATGTCTTTTCAACCGTTTTAAAGCAACAAGCAGACTGGCTCAAATTCTCTCACTGCTGAGCAGATGCTTTTAAAACATTTTAAAGGCTACTGTTTCCATCTAATGATTGTCTGCTATGACTGGTGCAGCAACACTGTTGGGTTAAAAGGTCAAAGAACCTGAATCTAGGACAGTTTGCTTCTTGAAATAAGACAGAATATAGTTCTTCTATGTGAATTACCCCTTATCGTCCTTCCTGCCTGTCCCCAGGCTCTTTGGACAGAGCTTTAAGAGCCGAGGATCCATTCAGATAGGGGATGTGCAAGTTTGTTAACCCAGGGAAGTGACCCCTATTTCAGTGACTAGATGTTGGTGTTGCTGGATGCTCCAGAGATTGTTTCCCTGCCCCAGCAAAACTTTGCTATCCCTGTCGTAGCTGCCCTTGGACTGTTTTCCCTTCAAAAACATAAGCATTTCCTTATCTAAATGTACCCCTCTCGTTATTAAAAAATGATGGTTGTGATCATTTAGAATTTTTGGCAATGGTATGAAGCGGTTTATGAATCAATCATCAGACGTTCACATATCACTGCTCTGTTTTATGAATCAAAGAGCAGAGTGTGTGCATTCAAGTGCTCATTAGTCTCATAAAAGAAGCTTTATGAAGCCAAGGTCATAAAGAGCAAAAGAAGAAATATTTAATTCCAGCAAAATGGTTTTGTGTTTTCACTGACGTTTCTCTTGTAGTACAGCACAAGTACTTGCACAAAGTCCACTGATAAAGCCTTGAACCAAATTCCCTTGATTTTTACTCAGCTTCTGTTGTAAATCATCTGACTTTTGCATGTGGAAGCTGCATGAAAAAGTGTTTTAGATTTAGAGTCTTAGGTGTTTATAATTTGTGCTTGC